GCGTGACAGCTGTCATAGTAGAAATATGATTGAAATAGATATTTTTTAATATAAACAATTCGATTTATGCTGGATTAGCTAATTAAGAAATCAGTTAGCTGCATTTAATTAATTGAAAATTAATTATATTTGAACTGTACTTATAAATAAACTTTGTAAAGGATGACAATGGGTGATGAGACTCCAGTTACATCACTGGTTCTTCCTGTCATTTTAAGACCAATATTAATGAAGGTATTGATATTTTTTTATTTATAATTTTGAGATTATTATATAAACAAAACTTTAAGTATAAAATAATTTTTTTTTACATTTTTATTTTTTTTACATTTTTTTAAAAAAATATTTAAAAATAAATTATATATAATTATAATTTATATATATATAAATATATATATATACATAAAAGTTTATTTTAATTATATAAAAAATATATAATTTCTAATTCATATTATTTTTTTAATCCATTATTACATAGTTAGAGAGGCAAAATGTATTGGCTGCTCAAACATTACGTACAGCTTTATTAAAAGCTGAAAATTCTCATCCAGGAATTACACATGATTTAATTCTTGGTATAATACGACGTGCAGAACTTAATCTTGATATGAATGAAAGTGTTCTTAGATTACAAGGAACAGCTTCTGATTATGATGGTATAATTATAATATATAATAAGATAAAAAAAGAATTAAATTAATTAAAAATTACGTTTAATATAATTAATAAATATTTTATTAATTTCATGCATTATAATTATAGTTATAGAATATAAATCAACAAGGTCTGAAGATGCCTTTCAAGAATTAAACCGTAAATCAACTTCTTTAAAAAGAATACTTAGCAGAATTCCTGATGAAATAACAGATCGTAAGACTTTTCTTGAAACAATCAAGTATGTTTTTGAAATTCTATATTACAATAATATTATATATATGTATATAGGATTAATTTATTTTTTCTATTCTTTTTTAGAGAAATTGCAAGTGCAATAAAAAAACTGTTAGATGCAGTGAATGAAGTAACTGCATTTATTCGTGGTTCTGCTGGAAAACAAGCATTAGATCAAAGAAAAAGAGAATTTGTTAAATATAGTAAAAGATTTAGTAATACATTAAAAGAATATTTTAAAGAAGGACAGTAAGCATTATTAATTTTTCATTTTTTTCTACTTAGTTGTTCTATTTTTATAATTATCTTTTTTTACAGAGCAAATGCAGTATTTGTGAGTGCATTATATTTGATACATCAAACAAATATGATAATGCTCACAGTAAAAGACAAATGTGAGTAAATGTGCTTGTTTAAATAATATCTTTGCAATAATAAAATTAATTGGAATTATTATAAAATACCAATTCCAATTTTATCCATTTTGTTATGTATTTGATAAGATTTAATTATCATTTCATATAAAACATGTATAGTATTATTTTATATGTATTAAATTGTTATAAAATTATTACGTGTAAATGAATACATAGATACATAATATATAAGATTCCACTAAAATATATAAATATTATTTTTAAGAGAAATTATTTTATATTAAAATATATGTGTAACATTAGAAATTTAAAAATTCATGTTTTTAATTATACTAATGCATATATATATTATAAATATATGTTATATCTTGATAAATTATTTTTGAAAAGAGAAAATTTTCATATTATGTATTTTCAAATTATATTTTTTTTAAAATTGATTTTTTAAAATTTTTTTAAAATTTTACAAAATTGAAATTTTTGTCCAAATTTAAAATTTTATATCAAGATATAAGACATGAAATTTTTCTTAGATTTTTAAGATATAGTAATATAATTGATTAAAATATTTTTATTAAATTTTATAATTATAAAAATATAATTCTGCAAGAAATGATGTATGAAATTTTTTTGGAATTCTTATTTACTTTATTATATACTTGTTTTTTATATATTCTTTAAGATATATTGATAGAAATTATCACCTATAATTTTTTTACATTACTTATTTTATTTAATTCTAATTATGAAAAATAATATTTTGTTTTATATGTATCTTTTATATTTATTTTTTTAAAATATCATATTTTTAGGAATAGAAAAAAATATTTTATATCTAATAAATACGAAAATATATATTTTAAATTATGAATATTATATATAAAAAATATAAAACTATATATAAAATGTATATGTGAAATATAAAGATATAAATTTATATATAAAAAACATATAAAAATATATGGATTCTTTATACATAGATAAATTATAATTATTTATATATAATGTACAAATAAATTTCTTATATATAGGAAAAATAATATATATAGAAATATATATACATTCTTTGCATAAAGTATACATATATAATATATATTAATTTATACATTGTAACATAATATATATTAATTTATATATAAGAATATTAATTTTTTATATCAATGAATTTTAATATAAAATTAAATATGAATTCTGATCACTTAAAACTATAATCAATTTTTGTACTGAATTGATAATGTCACATGTGTTACAAAAGACTCAAATGATTCATGCGACACAAAAGAATATTACGTGCCACTATCTTAATACTTTGCTATGAAACTAATGTAGGCGAGAATAAATAATAAGAAAAGAATTAAGAATCATTTCTTAAATAGTTTTAAAAGTCTTTAATATTTAAAAGATGATGCTGGCAATCAATTCTTATTTTAGTTTAAATAAGTTACTACTAGTCTCTAAAAAGATATCTTTGACATTTAATAGATGGCTTAATTCTATACTTTTCTATTTGGTTTTTTGTCTATATTTGTTTCATCTATGACATTCTAAAGATGGCGCTGATTTCTGAATTTTTACCCTATCTCTTCTATTATTTCTCTATACTTGTATAAAATTTATAAAAACTTTTATAAAATTTATGCGCTCAAAAGATAACTCTAATATCTGATAAATTTTATTGTCTTCTAAAATAAAAATACAAAAATATATATAAAATATATTATAACATATAAAAATATGTATGTAGTAGATCTAATAGATCGTTTATAATACATTCATAATACATATGGATTTAACGGTTGAGGTTCGGTTTCACTTATTACATCTATATACATATTTATTCTAATTTATTCTAAGTTATACTAATTTCTAATATATTGTACTATTATTTTATATATAAAAATAAGAATATTCTAATTTAAATTGAGAAAAAAAATAAGATTTGATCAATTTGAAGATTTAAAATAAGAAAGACATTTCTCCAAATATATAAGAAATAAAAATTACTTTATTGATAACAAATGTACACCAATGTGTTATATTTTTCATTTGGAATCTACATCCTCTATCTACATCCTCATTGCATTAACAATGACACTGAATAACAGTAAGGATTAATAGCAATTATTGTAATGAATATCATTGGAAAATGTACAAATTTTTTTAAGCACGTTTGCTATCTGCAAATGCCCGAACAATACTGCCAACACCACTGATATTATATACCTTTTCGTGCCAAGTTAATAAATGACTACTGCTACCTTCTGTTGGAATTTCAAATCCCCGATAAATATATTTCATTAAAACATCCAGCATGTCACGATCTAATTGTGTTAAACAATCATCTATTTGAGTAGATTTTATACTTAGAAGAACTTTTAGTGTTAAATTCCGAGCATTGTCCTGTAACATTCAATTAATATTTGCTTTTGATGCAAAAATGATATAATATATAATTATGACATGTATGATTATATTAATATAAAATAAAGATTATAAAAATAAAAGAAAGTCAACACACATTTTTATTTTTATTTTGTTAAATACTACATTAAATATATTTTATGAATAGCATTACATAGAATTATATATTTTTATTAGCATTATATAATTTGAAGAATTTAAATTATTTTATATATATATTATACATTAAAACTATTAAAATACACTTTAAAATAATAAATACAAAAAAAATGTCTATTATTAAAAATTTATACTTTAAACAATTATGGACGTATTAGTAAGGTTACCTTTACTTGTTGATTTTTGCATCCAAGTGGTGCAGATCTCAATACTGATATTAAAGCTTCGGCATTCTTACCCGTAAATAAATATTAAGAAAAATACTAAAAAATATTATGAAAAATATTAAAAGAAAATTATTGAAAGTTATAAAAAGGATATTGGCTAAGAAGTGTTAAAATTTCATTTTCATCTGGACCTGTAGGTCCTCCTATGCCTCCATCAGCATCTTCTTCTCTAAAATTATTATCACTATATTGATCAACATCGATTTTTCGAAATGTCGATGCTGATGAATCTTTTTTGCCATCATTTCTTGACATTTTATCTTTCTGTTTGACGTTTCACTGTGATAGTACCCGGTTTATCAACTAACTTGTGAAATGAATCTTTATTGGTCTTTAAGTATATAGTCTATATAGTGTGTCTTTCTTTTTAAACAGAGAATAAAATAAATATAAAGAAATTTATTTATTTTCATTATTTTTCATAATTAAAAATTTTTTTGTATATATTTACATTATTTTATTATAAATATAAAATTATGAAGAAATATATTCTTGATTAAATACATTAAAAAATTCTACCAATTAGAAATACGAAATATTTTTGTAATTTATTATTTTTTTATTATTTAATTTTATAATTTATATTTTTTATATTATAATATAATATATATAAATCGAATAAATTAAAAAAGTGCATATGCAAAATATAATCTAATCTAATATATTTTTCATATTTTTTTTATATCTAATTGTTTGAAATATGAAAAATAATAAAACAAATCAAATATTTTTTTATGAAAATCAATATTGATCAATATCATGAAAATCAAATATTTTTTTATATGTAAGATTATTTTTCGTTTAATTCAAATATTGTTTATATTTTATGAATACGCTCCTTAATTTGTGAAAGATTGAGTCCTTTAATTATATTTCTATATTTTATACATAATAAATGTATCTTTTGTAAGATAATAATTAAGTTATGAATTGTCCAAAACTTGTAAGTAAATATTTTACGCCGAAAATTATATGGTATCAAACAGATATTACGGTAATCGTACGTATTTTATTGCAAGATATAAAGGAATATTTCCTTCGAGTAAAATATGATCATTTATTATTTAGGTATTTTAAACATTTAATCTTTCATATAAAATAAAAATTACAAAATTTTAAAAATTTTATAAGAATATTATATATTGTTTTTAGCACTACAGTAAATTCAAAAAATTATTATATTTATTTATATCTTTTTGGAACTGTAATAGCAGAAAAAACAATTCACATAAACTTAGAAAGAGAAATTAAAATTACACTTATAAAGGCACATAAATGTAAAATAATTATTTATTTATTTTTTATATTGTTTTTATCATTTTTATTTATAATTTTTATCAAATTGATAGGGACAGAATGGTTAAGATTATGTATTGAAAAAGAAAGAAATCCTTTAATTAGTATAGATTCAGCACATATATATAAACGTGATTGGATTATTGATTCTTTAAAGAACATAGGTAATTATAAAACATTATATTATAAAACATTATATTATAATTAATATTATAATTAATATTAAATAATTTGTTATGTTTATTTATATTCATATATTTGCTTGTGGAAAGAAAAGGTAGTAATATAATTAATAATATATTTTTATTAGTTATCATATTATCTAACAAAAATTATTTTATCACAGAAAGAGAAAGTTTTACAGAGTATAAACGTAGACATAATATAACTCAAATAATGCCAGATGTACCATCTACTGATGAAGAAGAATCTGATGATGAAGCAATGGACATGTTATTTCTTTAATCTATATCTATATAAGATAAACATATTTGATCAATGCAATATTTATAATATTCAAATATATTTTTAAATAAAAATAAAAAATATAACTTCAGTATTTTTTTTTCTAAACTAAATTTTTTTACTTAAAATTTTTATACATTATTTATTGTATTGTAAAATTATATAACATGATATATAATAAAATCTGAGATAAAATACATTTTTTTGTATATATAAATTGTATAAATTTGACCATTTTAATTTTATTTGCAATTTATTAAAATCTATATTGATTCAATTTTATAAATAATTTGATATTAATCATATAAGATGCAATTTATGTTACAACATTAGATATATAAATACAGAAATAAAAATAAAAAAAGAAATATAATACATTGTATCTATTTTATAGTCAATTTTATCCAAGTAAAATTCATAAATAAAAATTCATAATGATAATAATATTAATACAAATTTTAAAGTAAACTATTATTCATGCAATTACACTTATTGTCAGAATTTATGCTCTAAATTAAGATAAAATAGTGCATTAAATTTCTATTAAATTTTCATTTTGTAAATAAAGAATATGAAATTCAACATTGAATAAAAAAATAAATAATGTTCTTTACATACAAAATATTGGAATGTTTGCTAAAATACAAAATATTGAAATATATAGTTACAGTTTTTACTAATTATATTGTATTGCTCTTTGTAATGAATTTTTTATTTTTTAAATAATATTTATATGTATGTAAATTTTATAGATTATTATTAAAAAAATATTGTATATGTAATTTTATCATAGAAAAGATAATATAAATATATTTATAATATAAAATAAAATTAATAATGTTTTTTTAATAATTTTTTAATAAAAATTGAATATATCTTAAAGCACATTAGAACCTTGATACTATTAAATTATGATATTTCATGAAATATAAATATAACAAATTAGAATATTTTTTTATGTTATTTTTAAATACTATGAATAGTTTATCATAATTATAGCTAATATAAATAATTTTATAATATTGAAATGATAACAATATATTAAAATTCACTTTCATTATAAAATAATTATATTCAAACATCTTGTTATAAATTTTGTACTAATTGTGTAATATATTGAAATTAATATCTACAAAAATTTACATATATTACAAGTAATAAAATTATATAAAAAATTATTTTTACATTTCATATACTTTTTATTTAAATATATTTATTAAATGAATATATTTATTTTTGAATATTTTGATGCAAATTATGAAAAATATATTTTGAATATCAAACTGAAGCTTTAATGTTTTTAAATATTTTTAATAATTTCATTAAGATTATTATATCACGAAATATATCAATAATCTTTTCTTATAATATTAATTTTGTAATGCTCATATAATACTTGTACTGATATAAATATTTGAATAAAGAATTTTAAAAGAATAAAAATTATTGCCTAGCTTAAATTGTTTTCAACAATTATTTTAAATCTATTACATGATAGAAATTATGTCAAATCATTATCATATCAATTTAAATATACCAACTTCTTATATGTATTTAATATTAATATATACCTATATAGTATATACCTACTTTATATTCAATTAGCAGCCTTCTAGAGAAAGTCTTTGATTTATATTTTCAACTCTTATTTTCATTTCTTTGAGTATATCTTCAGCAAGATTATCAACAGTAGTATATCTTACTTTAAAAAAATTAAATATATCTATAAGGAATTCTATTACTTGATCTCTGAAATAATGACAAGTAGAACGTAAACTTCCTTCTGGGCCTAAGAAACCCCACACAAGTACTGGAGAAATTTGTTCAGAAATCGAATAAAAATGGGCTAAAAATCCTTTATCATATTTTAACATTTGTCTTTTACCAACAAGCACTGACCAAACTGCAGTTCCAATTGCCTTAAACATAAAATAAAAGTAAATAAAAAATTAAATTAAAAATAAATTTATTTTTCTACTTACAGTTTCGCGGAAACTAGCAGATATCCATCTATTCTGTAAAATAGCTTTAATTGATGATGGTGGTTTTTCAACTTCTTCAAAGGCATCTAATAAAATAAAATCAATCAGAACGTCGTAGAAATTTATACATTTTACACCTCTGTTAGTTAGTTCTTCCTCCATAATACTACGATTATTTTGTTCTTGTAAGAATTCTAACATTCGTTCATAGTGTATTAAATAATCCTTAGGATCCTAATATTAAAAACTTTTCATTAAAATTTATTAAAAATTATTTATTAAAGTCCGAGTTAAGCTACTCTTAAGATTTATGTTCTTTTCAGATAGAAATAAATAATATTATACATAATGATATCATATATATGTTGTGTATACCCTGTCTGCATACATGATCAAATCACTAATAACTTGTCGGCCTATATCTGCAATCCACTCTGCAGCAGAAGATACAGTAAATAATTTCGTGTATGCTTGTCGTAAGCAATGTACCTTTGCTAAATATTCTACATCTGAACCACATTTCACCAGTTCTGTATGTAATCGTCTATAATAAATTATAATGAATTCATATATATATATTTAAATATAAATTTTTAAACATATCTTAAAATTATTTACCTGCATGGAATACCTTTGTCTTCGTGTTGCTTAAGAGCAGCATGATATAGTTTTTGCTTTTCAAAATGTGGAAAAAATTCAGAGAATTCTTCAAATTCCCGCAAATCTGCTACCTACATTACATATATTAATAATATATATACTATATTAATATAAATATCAATAATTTTTATATATTATTAATATTAAAAATAATTTTTTATTATTTATTTTTATTCAACAAAAAGTACACGAAAAAATTACTTACTCCATCACGTGCAGATTCGAAAGATTCTGGAGAAGATGCTGCATCTGCTTTATCTTTCCCGGATATTCGGCTACCTATATTCGAAGGTTTATGACTATCTATACTTTCCTCATCTTCATTTCGGAATAATACTGAATGCTGTTAATATTGAAACATTATTTATAATAAATTATTTATTTTTTTAATCTACAACTTATTTTTAAATTGCTTGTGCAATATTAATAGTTAGATAACATAAAAAATATAAAAAAATATTATATAAAACAAAATTTCCAATTGAAATATATATATATATTTTTTTTTTTATATCAAATAACTAATATTTATATATGTAACAACATTTTAATAATATATAATATAACATAGATTAGATTAAAATAGCAGTAGTTATAAACTTCCTATGTAATAATTCTTTATTGCTTGTTGTTAGGTCAAGTAATTCATTGCACTAATTACTCTGGTCAGTTATCATTTAAATTGAATTAATTTTTGCATTTTTTATGCAGTAAAAAAAAATTGATGAATATAGTGGAGAGGATAAATATAATATATATAAATATTGAAATGATATAGAAAAGATTTCAAATAAATAGAAAAAATTTTATAAAATCTTAGTTAAATAACGAAGGAATTATTTATTATTTATCAAAATTAAATTACTTATTACTTATTACTTTTATTTTTAAAATAATTTCTAATAACGCATTAAAATAAAAATTATTATTAAATAATTCCAAAATATTTTATATATTATTTATATATAAATAAATATATTTTATTTTTTTTATATTTTAAATGATATAATAATTTTAAGAATAATAGAAATCTGTTAATTTAAAAGAAAATAAAAATAATATATATATTGATATGTTTACCTGGTCGATAAATAGGAGTTCTGCATGGTTTTGGATTTGATAACCCATGTCGAGAAGTTCTTGCACATCATGCGTAAATGCTGCATCCGCCTTAGACGGTAATGCGAGCGTACCATTATTGAGTGAAGAGCTGAACGCTGTAAGAGCATCCTCCCAACAATAAAGAGCTTTTTCCAGAGCCTCCAATCCTGTATCATTAAGTTACATTGTTTTATATTTGTCAATTTTCATTCTCTTCCTTTGTGTATATAATACAAATGATAAATTCGAATTTATTTAATTTGTTCTGAGAAATATTTTCGCACAGCAACATAAAATTTACATGATTATCATTTTATTATTATTATATTTTATTTTTTACGAAACTCTTATTTACGATAAAAAAGATTTAATAAAACTTTTTTCAAAAATAAATAAATTTTATTTATTATTAAAAAATAATATTATTACTTTTATTTTTAAAATAATATTATTAAAAAATAATATTAAAATAATTAAATTTTATTTAATATTATGTTTATTATAGATTTACTTGAATCAAGATAAAGAAAAATAAAAGATATAATATATTCTTAAAAAAATTATTATATTTATCAATTAATTGTATTATTAAGATTTTATAAGATCAGATTAATCATCAGATTTTAATCAAAATAATATCTAATGTTTTCAATTTTGAATTTGTACATATATTATATTATGTATGACAATTCTTTTGATCTTTATTGTAATTTGCTTGTTTTTTTTTAACTAAATAATACATCTCATATATGATTTAATGTTATATCTGTGACAATCTTTATAAATCATTTAAAAATTATAATTTTTATTCATAAATATATTATTCTAAATTTTTGAAAGAATTATATTGATAATACATAATATATAATAAGTATTAAAAAAAAAATAAATGAATTTATGTTGTGTAATACAAAACAATTATTAAAAAATATATAGACAACAATATTAGAAAACAGATTAGTTAATTTTTGTACATGCTATGTTGTAATGTTATTTTTTTCTCTAATTGATAAAATACTTTAAGTCAATAAAAAATAATTGGAAAAAATCTTTAAATATATAAATAAGTATTTTTTATTTTTTTGATATAATTGTAATTTGTTCATATTTTCAATTGTATTAAACTTGTATTTAATGTATTAATATAATGTATTTAAATGATATAAAGAAACAAATCTTATACTTTCTTTTACTTAAGTTAAGGCTTGAAATGGGTATTGTTTAAAATCCTCATTTTTGTTTATGTTGAATTTAAGAGCTTTCTATGAGATAATTGTTTTATTATAATCAGTTTTTTTAGACATAATTCCTATATTTATTCAAATAGAAGAAATATTAATTTTATAACAATATGAGATCTTAAAATCGGAATTTTACTCTTTTTTTTTATTCGATTCATATTTTTAAATTATATTTTACATATGTATTGGAATATTGATTAAAAAATAATTGTAGAATTCATAAAATGCAATTTTATAAATTTAAAAATATAATAAAAAAAAAAAAGAAAATGATAATACTTTGAATTAAAGAAATGAGTAAAATATATATTTTCAGTCAACCAGGAAATATCTTGATGGAAAGAAGCTTCAGACGAATGTCGCGACTTCGGTACTTGACATTCGTACAAGAGGCAAAGGTAAGTTCAACGACTGATTTTGCAACGACAGAAGATTTACAAATGAGAGACCCTGTTGGCCGGCGTGTCAACCAGTCAGCAAAGAGTAAAGGGTTGAGAGCACCTACTTAACGTTGTCACACTGTCGCAGGATTTAAATTCCGAGTCGGTGACGACATTCTCTGTATTCAACATTTTATCACTCATAAATCGGCGTGCTTACTCAAAATTCGTTGCGAGACGAAAACTAAGCACTTGTATTAATTAAAAAGAATCCATATCTTAAAAGTGCATCTATTACTTTTAATTTGTGCAAAAATAAATTTATTTATTAAACTTATCAATATATGTACAATATGCTGACAATGAGCAATACAATGAGCATAAATACGTAAATATATATAAATAAAATAAATAGTTTGAAATAGTTGTTACTATCTCTTACATAATGTAGTTATATTAAACAAAATTTATGTTATATAAAAATTATATGACATTTAAATATAAATAAATATTGTATAAAAGATGAATATATTTATACTTTTCTTCAATTAAAATTTATTTTTATTAACTTTTTTTTCAATTGTCATAATTTTAGAGAAGGAAACGCTTATAAAAAAAGAAATACAAAAAACAAAGTTGGGGTATTTATCAGTGACGTATCTATACAAGCAAAGTTTCTATTATTAAAAATATGAAATTTGTTATTAAAAAATATTGAAATGAAATGTATATAACATTTATATAAAATATTTTAAATGAATCAAATTTTATATAACATTGAAAATTTTAAATATATATATATATATATATATATATATATATATAAATTATAACATTAATTAGAAAAAGAAATTAATACTTTTATATTTATATTGAATTTAATATAATTCATAAATATAAAAATTTTAATATTTGTAATAAATATACATTAATTTTTTACTTATTTGAATTTTTCAATTTTTTTAATTTCTCATAAATGGTCAATTGAAAATTTATATGTTAAAAGGAAGATAACCTAAAAAATAGTACAAACCATGCTATTCAAGCTCGTAGTAAGTGCAAGTATCCTTTTTTTAACGAAGATAGAGATTCCCTGTGAGTTTTAGATGGAGAGAAACTTTCATGTAGCTGACTACTCTTTGAGAATTCTTGCATCCCCTATTAGAGAAAAGGTACACCCTGAAGAATCCAGCACTGCGATGCTGCCGGATGGTTGGCGTCAATAATACCAAAGTGACGTAATCCTTTTCGACGTTCGTTATTGGAGGATGTGTCATCCAATGGGGAGGGGTCGATACGGCAGCTGGGAGGCGCGCGCGGTCTCAAAGTGTGCTCCAAGCACGCGTTGCGGCATCGCAGTTCGGCGCGCTAGTAGTGCACTGCTGGAAACACCACGACGAGGTAGATTTGAAAGAGCAATACGAAGAAAAGAGGGAGAACACGCGAAAGCAATACGAGAGAGACGAAGATCGAATTAGATAGTGAGCGCGCAGAGGAAGCAGGGAGGGTGGAACACATCGTGTGTCCTCGGCGCTAGCGTCAGTTATTCGGTTTACCGCTTCCTTGGCGGGTGTAGTGTGCTTACATATTTTTCGACGATTGTTACAACGAATAATTGACATACGCGAAATTATAAACGTACTTGGAGAAATATTTTGTAACGTACGTTACACGATACAGAATAAATCTTTGGACAAGATCTAGTGCCATAGCGCGTAATCCCCATCTCCTTGATGCCATTTGGACGCTCGCATTATTTGGATTAAGATAATGCAATAGTAAGTATGATTGTTTCTTTCTCTATTCTGATTATTGAATGTCAGTGGTCTTGACCGAATTTCATTGAAGAAAGAATTATGGAATTATAGAAAATTTTTTATCATTACACATTTTAAATCGTTACAATCATTTTTCGGAATGTTATATTTTAACTGGCAAACGGAAAATAAAATATTCGAATGATGCTACTATTATAAAATTTAATGATTTATGTGAAGGATATCATAAACATTCTATTATATTTTCTTAGATAAGAAAATAGATTAATAATAATGTATAAAAATAAGAATAATTTTTGATTTTTGACTAGATAATTAATCTTTAGTAAGAAAAATTGTGAAATATTATAGATTTCAAAATATTGCGTGCTTTCCAATTGAATAAACGACATCATGAGAATCATCCAAGAATATTAAATGCCCGGTATCTTTTTAAAAGAAAAACTTGTCTATTTCTGTAATTGTTTAAGATATGTCTTCAGTATAGGTCAAGTTCAGGGGTCAATACCTCATACCCGTTGAATCTTGAATAAAAGTGAATGTCGTAAATGTAACAATAGCACCGCGTACCGGCAGATCGATGGAGGTGCCTGGTGCGCTGGTGAACTTGGAAATTTCCCTAGCACACGCGCACTTCCTGCACCCATGATATTTGCGTATCTATTACATATATTTTGTCCTATACGAACTGTACATGTTTCTATTAAATCTTAAAGTACAAACGTCTAACGTGATGCATAGGATATTTGACGAGTGATGTACCATAATCGAGATACACTGTATGCAAAATATAAAAGATTTGGCATTATTGCACCATATTTTGGCAAGATAATGGAATTTATCCAAATCTTTATGAAGGATTATATAAAAATTACAATTAATAAAATAAAATTACAATAAAATACAATAAAATTACAAAAATACAAATACAATAAAATTAAAATTGATCAAATATAATAAAAATTAATAAATATGTTAAAATTGTTAGTTTAAATTTAAATTAAACAATCAAAACAACTTAATAATGAATAAAATTGAAGAAGTGAAAATGAAATATAAGATATAATCTTATTATGTTATAATTTAATCTAATTTTTATTTTTATTTTTATTTGATTTTATTTGATGATAAAAATATTGCTTTAATTTAAATATTATTAAAGTGCACAAATATAAAAAAAAAAAAGAAATAAAAATTGGAGTCTAAAAAATTTAATATTATTCTTATAATATTATTGAATTTTGTTTGAAAATTCTATTGAAATATATTGAAATTTTATCAAAAGGGAAATGATACATTGTGAAAATAAATGATATAAAGTGATATAAATATATGAGTCGATATACATGAAAAAAAAAAATTTTATTACAATAGTATAGTATGATAAAACGAAACGATATTCTAAAGTGGATCTAATTACATAGCACCATCTATAACAATGAATCAACAATATTTAAGTTGAAATAAATTATAATATATTTTTATAATATATATTTTATATCACTCATTTAATATATACTTAATATAAAAGCAAATTATAAATTACAAAAAATAAAGAATAAAAAATTAAGGAATTAGACAGTACCTTGAAGAATTGATTATCTAAAGAGACTTAACATTGTACCTACGATTATAATTATATTAACAACTATAATACAATGTATAATTTTAAAATTACAATACTTAAATGAGATTAAAAAGAAAAGAAATTAAAAAATGTGAAATTAAAAAATTATAAAATATTTAATAAAGGAGGAAAAATTTTCATAAATGGATTGGTCAAATTATATAATTATATTAATTATCTTATATATCATTTTTTTTTTTAATTTTAAAAGATTGAAACAAAAGAAAGAAGGGTGAGAAAAATAGAGAACGAAATTATTAATAAACTAGGTGAAAAAATCGATCAATTGATTGAAGAACCATATGCAACTGTATAAAGTTTTGGTGATTTTTAAAGTAAGTTTTGGTGATTATTAAAAATCAATTCAAAAAGAAAACTATATAAGACGTGTGATATATGCCAATTGTCGATGGATGAATGCAAATTTTGCTATAGACAACTTACAAGAGACATGATATGATCGTGTCAATTATTAGGTAATAGTAGATCCCCTGTCGAGAATGCTTCGACCCTGATGAGCCTAATAAAAGTGACATCATTATCGCTCGCCACAACGAGCTTTTAACCTACGTGGCTCGCTCTGATTTTCATAATCTGGTTCACATAATCATGAAAGCTCTACCCTCCATTTGCTTTTTTTTTAATGCCAATAGATAATAAAGAGAGAAAGTATTTATAAAAAATATATTTGATGGAAAATCGGCAAATTTTTTTTTTATCTTGCTTTATCATCTAACATTTACATTTAACATTTGTAAATTATGAAAAGAAAAATCTAGCATTTAATTGAAAATGAAAATAGTATTAATTCATCAAAAAAATATTGATTTTAAATTTCATTTGTGATTTTTCTTTAATCAATTTACATCTTGGAATTCTATTTCCTAACATTATAGTTATTATAAGAAAATTTTAATAGATTTAATCCTTTATTTTTGTTATTACATTATACATTCATTTTTTTCATTATTTTTATTATTTAGATCTCAATTTTATAAAATTTAAGAAAATTAAAGTATGACGAATTCTTTTTCTTCTAGACTACAAGAATTTTTATCTAATTTTTATTTATCTAATTCTTTCTTGTCTATTCAATATCAAGAATTATTTTAATAATTATTACATTTTTCAATAAAAATTCACTTTTAATGTTCAAATTTAATCTTATCTTATTGTTTTATCTTATTTTATTATTGTTTTGTCTTATTTCATTGTTTGGTCATAATATTTATAGATAGTAAAAAGAAAAAATATCATTAATATTCTTACTACTATAAATTAAATATTTGAAAAATCGTGAAGCAGAAAAAAGGGTAAAAGGTGTACATACACTCCATTTAGGTTTTACTTTCATAAAATAGACGACGAAGGTCACATTATACGAACCATGTCAGCTAAAAAGATCTTTCAGATATCTTTAAGATATCTCAATAAATTCGAGATCCAATATTTAAGGTTATGTTCTTTTTTCTGGCAAATTAGAAATTACTCGCATCGGAAACACGAAAACCATTCTTCTCCAAGTCAAAGTTTGAAATACTGAATGGAATATCAATGGTGATATAAAAGTTTTCAAATTATCCATAAATTCTATATCTCATAGTTCAAACTCAATGAAGTATTTTGAGAATAAAGAGAAATGCAAAATATTCGAATATATTTTTTCTTAATTCAAAGTTCAAATCTCCTTTCAATTCTTCAAACTTTTGTTTTTTTTCAAGCAACGTGTTTTTCATAAAAAAAAATTTCATAAAGAAATAAGACTTCTATCATATTTTCATTATTCAAAAATTAAAAAAATTATAAATATTTAATGAATCAGAAAAATTTCACCTTTTATAAAAATCTCAAAAGATTTTTTGTTTGTGAAATTTGATTGGAAATGATTCTTCGAAGATTTAGCATTTTCGTTTTATATAAAAATTCCTGAGGAATAGACTTGAGAAGATACTTCCACTTCAAACACGTTAAAATCCAAAAAATTTGACTTCTCACAATTTTCTCATAGAATTCTTCCAATATCTCTTTTTTCTTCTTCAAGTTCTATTCTCGAATAAACGCGAGTTCCCTCGTCGGCCGAGCTCGCAGTTGAACCCGTTTGAATTCATTGAACGTCATCAAGGTATTAGAACGTTTCTCGTGGGCGTGTAGGGGAGCTTCGTATTCGATGGAATAGGTTGGAGCATGGAACGAGTCGGAATTCAAGTACCTGGAAATGTGGTGCAATATGAAAGTGTAAGATCGGTGTAAATAACTACAATGCAGCAATGAAGATTGTAATTATTTATTATTCAGAGCGGCAACGTGTCCCGTTTGTTTCGAGTTTTTCGATTTGAAGATTATCGCTCCATTTTGAATCCTCGAAATTGTGAGAAATAGAATTGTCGAATGGAAACTTTCAACTGATTGTATCCAATCGAATCGAACATAGCGGTTTTGTTTTTAAACGATCGCTTTCTTCTTAACGTTGTTATATACCCGGGATGAATCATCGACCGGGTATCATGAAGTGATTTTTCATTTACAGAGAACGTGATGTTCTCAATTCAGAACAACATATAGGACTGTGTAATGCACAGACGAAAGGGATGATTTTTTTATGAAGGGGATGATTTCTATGAATCAAAAATATAAAATAAAGTCTTTATATATTAAGCTTAATTTAAAAAAAAAAAAAAAAAACTATGTTTTGATTTGTCTTCTTGTAAATATATATTTTTGATTTTGTATATTTATAAATGTTAATAATGATTTGCTTCCTATTATTGATATTATTTTTTATTGATAGTTTATATCATTGTTAAAAAATAATAATTAATGCATTTATTTAATGAATTTTTAAAATTGTTTTGACTTGTTTCATTAAAATTTATAGGATAAAAATACAATATTATGGTTTCTCTTTTTTTCGTATAGCTTCGCATATACATTTCGTAGGGTGAAGATAGGTGACTTAATTTTCATAGTATGGCTTCTGGATATTCTTAATGTTTTAACTTAAATAGTTATTAAAATAGACTTTTCTTAATTTAAATTAATTTTGCTAATTTTATTTTATACAACATAAATATTTAAATTCCTTATATATATAATAATGATACTAAAATGAACTAAAATAAAAAGTAATTATAAAAAAAAGTTTAATTATAAAAATAAAAAAAGAAAAAAGAAAAAATAAAAAAAAAATTTGATAAATATTAATTCTTCTACAGCATTGTATAAGAGATGATATATGCATGAGGTATGATACAGTCAGAAATCTAGTTTATTAGCTTTAATTTGACAGAAAGATCGTTGCCTTGAGATGACACATTGGTTTAATGAGAGGAAGACAGACAATGTAACATTGTAAAGGAAGTTCGTGGAAATCAAG